GCGGCGACAGTTAGATTAGGTATTGAGAGAAATAGAGAAAAGAAAATAAGAAACGGGTTTAACCCGGACAAAATGGGCATTGCCCATGTTTTATTATTATTTTATTTTGGACACCTGTCATCATGTCATTGGGCCATGTCACATCCTCCGTCCGAAAGATGCAAGTATTGTTCGGGCCGAACTTACAATTAATATAAGACTATTTTAAGCCATATATATATATATATATATATATTATCGATTATATTCATACAAAAATTAATCAAAAATACCAAATAACTACTACAAAAGACCAAATAATTATCTTTGACACAATAAAATTCATATATTATCTTTTGGTAGCTTGACTAGGGTTCAAAACTGGGTGGAGGCATATGTGTGAGTACCAATTAAGAAAAAAAAAATTATTGGTAACTTGACTATCGTATAACTAATTAACCTAAAATTAATCAATCAATTAGTTATTTAAAGAAACTTTTTTTTAATTTTATCAAACTTCCTTAACAAACACAAAAAAAATAAATAGTAGTACAATTAAGGCAAAATTTTAAAAACTTTTAACCCTAAAGCAAGTGAATATATTGTCTATTATTACAATTGGGCTTAGTTTAATATAATATTGAAACGTTTAAGAAAAAAAAAAAAAAAATGTATAAGAAAGTCATGTATTTTTAATAAAAAGTTAGAAACCATTTATAGTTAGAAAATATTTGTGGGGGCCAAGTATGAATTTATCTATATTATTTTTCATTTTAGGCGGTACTAATAAAAGTTAATAAAAAATTTGGGGGGGGAGGGGGGGGCCAAGGCCCCTGCTGGCTTACCCCTGCCTTCGCCCCTACTTAATAGAGGCTTGATTTTTTAATGGAATGAGAAAGAGGGAGGAAAAATGAAATATGTTGATGTAGCTGTATAAAAATGTGACGTAAAATACATAACAATTTTACACATTTGTGACGTAGCAATGTATCTTAAAAGACTGCTGAAGATTAAAAAAAATTACACATTATGCGTGACAGCGTATATTTTACACAAAATTACACATCATGCGTGACAGCGTATATTTTACACAAAATTACACATCATACGTGGCAGCGTATATTTTACACAAAATAGTATTTTAATAGACTAAGCATCTCCAACCGTTGTGTATTCTTGTGTAAATTTGATGTGTCATAATAGATTTACAAAAAAAAAAAAATTAGATTATTTATTTTTAGCTCCAGCGGTTGTTTTATACCTTTTGTGTAAAAATATATATCCTAATAACAACCAACCATTGTCATGCCTAGACTCCACATAATTTTTATAAACTTACTTAATATATGGTTGATTTGTTAATGGAATGAAAAAGAGGCTAGGAGGAGAAAGGAAATATGTTGATGCGGATGTGTAAAAAGGTTATGTAAAATACACAACTATTTTACACATTAGTGACGTGACAATGTATCTTAACAGACTACTGGAGATAAAAAAAAATTACACATTATATATGGCAGTGTATATTTTATATAAAAAAAAATATTTTAACATACCACTGGAACCACTGGTGATGCTCTTAGCATTTTTAAAAAATGTGTACATTTTCTGTCTATACAATTTATTTTCCATAATATCATTATTTACTCAGGGACGGACTATTATAAGGGCCAAAATTTCTCAAAGCCCTTTAAGAGTGGGCCCTTCTTTGTTATATCTTGGGTCCTGATCCAGTTGAAACATGCCCAAATCTAAATAGAAAATAAGGCCCATTATAGTATATTAGTACACCAAATATTTAAATATGTTCCTATTGTCCTATATAGTAATTATATATCCCAGGGCATCTAAGTCCAGTCCCATTGATTTTAAGGAGGGGAGGGATCGAGTCGTAGTATTTGAAAAAGGCGTGTGAGTGGTTTTTTTTTTTTTTTTTGAAAAGTTAAGCAAATATTATAAATAAAGGGGTAATTATATATGGGCTTCAGCTTTTGCTGGAGGCAACACGGCCCAGTGGGCCAGAAAGTGAAAACAAAAGCAATACAACCTCAAGACCTAGATGTCATCTATGCATCAGCCCAACGACTGGTGTGGGTGTTCTTGCTATGGTATATCTATCTATCTATATATTTATATTTATATTTATACTATTATTAAAAGTACAAACAATTTCAATACATTATTGTATTTCAGTACATTATTTTTTAATAATAAATTTATATGTTTCCTTTTACAATTCAATTTATATGTATGTTTCTTTTTACAATAGCACAAATTACCTATTTATTATGATTTTTATTTTAAAATTAATATAAGCTATTTAGAAAAGTTTATATAAACTCAAATTACCTCTTTGTTACAGTTTTTTAATAAAAGTAAATCTAATTAGATAAGGAATATATAAAGAAAATAAATAATTTAGTCTTTCTAATTAGATAAGAAAATATAAAAATATTTTAGTCTATTTAGTCAGTCTCCACATCTTTTATAATTTTATAAATAATATATAAATAAATAAAATATTAGTAAATTGTAATAAAAAATAGTCTTGACTTTGATACTGTTTTAGGAATTTGAAAATACACCTATCAATAATTAAAAAACTATTGTAAAGTTCAATTAATAATAATAATTATTATTTTTATCTCTTTTACCTTGTGCCAATTTTATGTTCATGGATATTTTAAAATTTACAATTATTTAATTACTTTGTTAAATATTAATTTGAAATTAGATTTTACTCATGTGTAACACACGTATAATTTTACTAATATATATATATATATAAAGAACTATATTGCTAATGAAAATAATATACAATTAACTTCCAAAATTTTAAATACGTAGAGTAAGTTGAGCCCCCCAAGCGTGCAACAATGAGGTAACATGCATACTATATATATATCAAATATGTAACACATGTAATATGTTACATGGTGATATAACACCATCAAATAAAAAATTTAACATATTTAACATAGACAAAATATTTACATAAATTATGCAATACACATCCAACATATTATATTATGATACAATTCTATTAAATTAAGCATTTAACACATTTAATGATAGTAAAATTATTACATTATCGATTTAGTATATCAAAAAGACAAAAAAATAAGAAGGATCATCATTGGTATTGATAAAATGGAATGGAACTCTAGGAGTGTATATATATATAATGAAAAAAAAATTAATTAATTAAGGTTTAATGTATCCTATACTATATCATTACGCCAGGTGGGTTTAGTGTATATCTGTTCACTCTCATCCCAATCTGAACCATATGACATTTCTTAATCCAAACTTACTTATTTTTTACTTTAATAAGAAACACACTTGTTTGTAGGTATTTGAGATCCCTATATTTTATTTTGAAAATCAAGAAAGTATCATTAAATTATATTTTGAGACCCTTTATAAGGTATCACATGCACAAAACATTTATAGGAGTGCAGAATTTTCATTAAAATGAGACAATAAGCACGTAAAATATATTAATTTTGAAAACACGCAAAACAAAACCCTGTGTACTTTATAAAGAACACGATCCAACTTATATAAAAAATTAAAAGAAATATTCAACACACCGGACAAGAGGTGGTCTATAAGCACTACCACCAAAGAGATCAATGTATAAGGAGCAGGTTTCGGTCCCGGCCTTAGCAGCTAGCCGCCTAGCCTTTGAAGTACGGACCCCATCACAATGGTAAGGAAATCGACTGATCATGCGAAGAAAGCTGTACATACCAATATAAAAAATAAGCCTTGTGTAGCGCTAGTTAGCGCGGCGCGGGAACTACAACTAAACGGGATGCTTCCTCTATGGTTAAACAATTCGAACTGGTCGAGCTTTCTTTCACTCTTTCATCTTAGTCAAAAAAATCAAAATTCAACTTCATATAAAAGTAAATGTGATCGTCTTACATTTTGAGTTACAAAATTATCAATTAAAGTATTAAAATCAAGTTTTTTCAACATATATTTTTCAATTAATATCGTAGTCAATCCATTCAATCTCTCGTATGACCATCGACCATAAATAATATTTGATCAACATCAACTTTGAAAAACTTTTCTGAGTATATGCAACTGTAATTGGGATAGTCAATAATATTCTATATGCAGTCTAAACATTTGGAAAATAATAACTTAATATTTTTTATAAAATCAAATACTTCAATTGCCTTTTTTTGTTCATCTTGCTAAAGTTTCTCTTAAGACTTGTACATTTGAAAATAATTCTATATCATCAAATATCAGAAACCATATTATATTTTAGGAAATCTTACAAGGTTATTTTTAAAAATATGACGGTTGATTGCACCCAAATTAAAATTTTGATTGTTTGGACTTGGCTTAACGGAATTATGCATTCACATGCCCAAAATTAATATAATAATAAAATAAATCAGTTTATGAGTTTAAATATAAAATATTCTTTTTTTCCTAAACAAGTTAATGTTACAATTACAAATTATTGTATAAGTACATTTGTTTATTACCATAATTTTTTTTGAAAGTTATTTATTGCCATAAATTTGATGATGTATAAGTGTATTGTCTTTTAATTATAAAAATTATGACCTGAATATGAGATATATACTACTATATTTACACTGATTCTAAATTTGAGGTCCTTCTAAATTGGAGGCTCTAGACAATCCCTTAATCACCTTGCCCGAGCCGGCCCTAAATACAACTTTATGTCAATTAGGAATGACATACAAACGGTCTTCTACTCTTATAAAAATAAAAATAATATATATAATAATAAAAATAAATACATATTATTTCAATTTATTTATGTGTCAGTTAGTGATTAGCCTGGGACTAATAATGGTACAAAACTATGTAATAGTTTTTCCAAATTGTCACATTTAAGCATGGTTCGCACTTCGCAGTCTGCGGTATAATGAATTTGGACGAATATTGATATAAATCGGCCAGGTAATGAATGTGTGTATAAGTATCTAACCTTAAAAAAAAAAAGAAAAAAAAAAAAGTAGTTACAGACCAACATATACGACAAATGATGCATTCAAGTGATCTTCTATTTATTTATTTTTCAAAATAAATAACATAAAATGTAGGTTCCAATATAAATGGGGGTATAGTAGAGAAAAAGCCTATAGACCAAAATAAGGCAAACATTTGAAGAGTCCAAAATTGGTTTAGGGTGAGATTTTCCATTCTGGCAACCAAAAAAGGAAACAGAAAAAATAGATAGGCTGTGCTGTTCTTCATCATATACGTTTGTGTTCTTCAACTCTCCTCCAAAGCTAACAGAAAAAAATTCATACCTTCTCTATCTCGCTCCCTTCTCTATCTCGCTCCTTCTCTCTCTACACCTGCCCTAATATCACACTCCGTCTCTATCCCCCAACTCTCTCTCTGTCCTCTTCTACATCTCATCTTTCTCTCTCTAGACTCCACAACGCCGTGCTCCCGTCGAAGTCTCTTCTCTCTCTATATATTCTCTCTCCACAACGCATTACTTTGCATTGAGGGAATTTACACAAACACTTTGGTGGTTGTAGGCTTTTCTTGGATCCTTGTACGGGTAACTACCTCGTCTGGCGTATTTGACATTATGAGGATGAGGTAGGGTTGTTCTCTTTTCGTATGTCGCTTTCGTTCTCTCTGGAATTTTCCGGTTTGCTTGTTATGTTCAAACCCTAGGTTTCGGGATTATGTTCTAGGGTTTATATTGGTCTACATTTTCATGGTCGTCGCTCTGTGATTCTATTGGTGATATATAGGGTTTTTTTTGGGTCTGATTTGTATGAACTATTGATTAAGAACCGAGTGCTTTTCTCCGATTTAAATGTTGTCGTAAGGCTTTTGTATTGTGGAACCCTAATGTTTTCAGAAATGAGGGTCTTCTGAGTGTGTTATATTCGTTCGCTTATCCATCTTTTAATTGAAGATGGATGCGTAGAGAATCTTTTCTTTGGATCCCTTGAATCGTTGACGCATTGGGCTAGTATATGGCTATGAGTTATGGTTTACTTATTTCGATTAATCTGTAAAGGACAAGAACATTAGTTTTGATCAATCCATAGTGGATGAGAACCTTAGTCTTGATTAAAAGAGGAACCCATTAATTAACTTGAACACTGACGACTGCATTTGGAAGGATTTAAAGTTTTTGATTCACAGTGTTGTTGTCTTGGGCAATTGGGGGGCAATTGCGAAGCACTTCTTGTTTAGGGAAAAACAGAACTCAGATTATTTTTGGGTCTAGTTGTGAATGGAAGGGTTAGGATTTTGCAAGAGGAGGTTTGAGGAGAAAAGAAAGCTGGTTGTCAGTGCTTGTTATATGTGATCATGTTCAGTTCTCATGGAAAGAATTGAACCGACATTAGTTCCAGAATGGCTGAGAGGTACTGGAAATGTTTCTGGGAGTGGGAATTCGGCCCACCATTTAGCAACGTCTTCTTTTCACTCAGGTACTCTTATTTTGCCAGGTTTTACCCAATTGTGGATAATTGTTATTTTGTTTTGCATTTATTTTCATTCTTTTTTTTTTTTTTTTTTTTCTTGGTTGGTACTCACACACACGTGCCTCCACTGAGGCTCTAACTTCCAACATCCCTTTGGGAAGTTGGGGCCTGGTACCGCTAGGCCACTGGCCTGTTGGTCATTTATTTTCATTCTTTGAATTGCCTTTAGCATTAGTTCTTTATATTGTTAATGTTCTTGTAGATTCTATTTTCTCGCCGCATTCCACAAGAAATAGATATTCTAGGAGTGTACGTGATAAAGATACTCCACGTCCTACTTATTTGGATCGAAGCTCTTCGTCTAATTCTCGGCATAGTTCAAGCAATTATGGTTCTACAAAGCATCCATACAGTAGTTTCACTCGAAGTCATCGTGATAAAAATCGTGACAAGGAGAAAGAGGAGTCGGTCATTGGGCATCTCTGGGACCATGACTGTCTTGATCCATTGCGAAACATCTTAATTAGTAGGGTTGACAGGGATACCTTAAGACATTCTCGTTCTATGGTGTCTAGAAAACCGGGTGAAGTTTTCCTTCGGAGAGTTGTGGACTCAAAAAATGGTGGTAGCAACAATCAGGATAACAGAAATGGTATGCATTCTGGGGGCAGCATTGTTAGCAACATTCAGAAAACTGCGTTTGAGAAGGACTTTCCCTCTCTTGGAAGTGAAGAGAAGCAAGGAGCACCTGACATAGTGAGAGTTCCATCTCCTAGTTTGAGCTCTGCTGTCCACAGCTTGCCCATGGGCAGTTCAGGTTTGATCGGTGGGGAGGGATGGACCTCGGCTTTGGCGGAAGTGCCCACCATAATTGGCAACAATAGCATGCGAACATCCTCTGCTCAACAGACTGTTGTTGCCACCCCGTCATCCGGGGCTTCAAGTGCTTTGTCTGGTTTTAACATGGCTGAAGCATTATCACAGGCTCCATCTCGAGCTAGTACCACTCCCCAGGTAACTGGTCCACTCTTCCTGTTTTATTCATATTTGATGACAGTAACAGTTCTAACAGACATTTTTCTTGAATTAACAGCTGCCTGATAAGACACAAAGGCTTGAGGAATTGGCTATAAAGCAATCTAGGCAACTAATACCCATGACACCCTCAATGCCTAAACCCTTGGTAAGAGGATTTCATTTGATGATATTTTTGAGATGTTTTAACTCTGAAAGTTCTACTTGCTGGAGATAACTGATTGAAGGGTCAATCTTGTTTAGTATATCTATCAATTGAGGGTTGTATTGTGATGATATTTATCTTTACTATCTCTCTCTCTCTCTATATATATATATATATATATATATGTGTGTGTGTGTAATAAATGTGTATATACTTAAATCATCAATAATAAAAGCCTCAATAGAGAACTTAGTATATCGGACAAGTTCTTAATGCTATCTATGTTCTCAATGACTTTGTTTGAGCCTCCTCTGGTGTGCAACAAGAGTCGTGATTCTAATCACATATCATTATACTGTTCCAACTGACTGGCACATTTTATTTCTATATATATATATATATTGTTTTTTTTTTGGGTAGTCAAAAATGTTATTGAATTGGTTGGTTTGAAGCCACCTTCCGATAAGCTCAACGATTATATTATTTGATGAGGTTGAGATGATTTTGTATTGGTCATATGACTATAATCTTGTCATTTTTTGATAATAAAAAATTCAAAATATTTCACATGTTCGACAAACGGGAATGATTTGGCAGAGGAGCAGGTTTAGCTTGCTGCGTACTATATTGGCCAATCATGAATTGGTACCCTCAATGCATCAAGGGCATGCTTTAGGAGGATGCGTTGCGGACAAGTGCCTAAGTGCCCCAGTCATAAAATGATTTTATATCAATGAGTGCGCTAGTCATGAAATGATGGTATTCAATGATAACATTGATATAAAATATAATCTTATTACTTCTAAATTGGACAGAGCCTGACTTATTCATGTATTGGACACTTGAGGATGAAGGAGGAGAAAAAGAATTGGATCCCCTTCATAACCTGGACCTTATGTAGACTACATTTGCAATATATACAATTTCCACTTATATGAATACGACATAGGAGCAGGAGGAAACGTACTGATGGCATGCTTTGCCACCCAGATCTCCATGAAGTAAGTCTAGGGACTTGAGAAGGACAAACACATCATAACTGAAACAAAAAAAGATAGAATAACAGTGGCAGTCAGTAAGCAGGCTATAGTAGTGCCAAACCTTTTTGTAACCTTGAACCAATTTATGTTATTTGAAAGGTACCTCAAACATTAGGTAGACGATCCAGTTACATGACTGCCTTAATTTTTGTAGGCTGGCTTCGTTATATTTTGAAATGAATTTTTTTTTTTATATTTACAAACATACTCATTAGTGGTTCTTCTCTTGTTGACCTTTTTGTGAGAGTTAGATGTCCTCTCTCTCTCTCTCTATATATATATATATATATATATGCTATGATCAATCCCCACAACCATGCACACATGTACACACACAAACAGAAATGGCACCTGTATCACCTTCAACTTTAAGTAGTTGTTTGATGAAAGTTGATCTCAAATTGTTGATAACCTTAGCTAATTATATCATGTTATAAATATACTGAGTGTTATTTCTTATAAAATATTATATTGATTGCTATTAATAGTCGGAAGAACAATCAAATTACTTCATTAGAACCCTTTGTAAGAAATAAATTTAATGCAACATAGAAGGTGAAGGAGTAGACAACACTCTCCAAGCATGAGGAAGCACAAGATTGTGATATATTTCCAAGAAGTCACAAGTATCCAATGAGGTGGCATGACCCTAGAGAGTAGCCACACTGGGAATTGGTGTTACCCGATCATGGTCTTGTCGTAGTTATACCATAGTCTGGCTTAAGAAGCATGAGGATGTGTTAATGAATGGCTTGCCCCAAGAATAGTCTGTCGGAAATGCACCTTAGGTCAGGACATAGTGTTGTTGTGACCATGGTGGTCTGGCGACATGGTCTTTTATGGGAACTTGGGTTTGTTGAGTCAATGAAGCTTTAAATTCGGGGCCAGTTGATGTGAGTAAGTAAATTGGTGATTGTTGTGATCCCATGGTAGTCTGGTGACATGTCTCTCTTTTTCTCTCATATGTCTGCTCTTATTTTTTATTTTTTATTTTTTGATAAGTAAATAATGTATAAAAGAGCCTTCAAAAGGGGAACGCATCCCAAAAGAGCTTCAAAAGAACAGAGGGCCTCTAAACCCTCAAAGAACCCAAAAAGTCAACAAACTCCTCTATGGATTTACAATTTCTCCCAATAACCCAACAAAAAAGGGTGCTAATAATGGAGAATTTCAAAAACCCAGAAGTAATTTCCTTTCCTTCAAAAGATCTCCTATTTCTTTCAAGCTAAATGCACCACCAAATACATAAATATTTAACTCTCCGGAAATCCCTGACTTGAACCCTCACTGTACAGCCTTTCCAAGCCTCAATAAAGCATTTGGGAGACCTTGGCATAACCCACTGATACCCGAATAACCCCAGCATCAACATCCAACAATCCCATGCCACCGGGCAATGCAAAAGAAGATGATTAACTGTTTCCTCATCGTTCTTACACATAAAGCACCAGTTAACCACAATCTGATTCCTTCTCCTTAGTTTGTCTTGAGTCAAAATCTTCCCTAAGATGGATGTCCATGCAAAAAATGCCACTTTGAGTGGAGCCTTCGAACGCCAAATAGCCCTCCACGGAAAGGGAGGAGTCGGAGTATCTGAAAGACACCTATAAAGAGATCTAACATCAAAGCGCCCCTGACAAGAAGGAAGCCACACCCAAGAGTCGGAAACATCTCCCCTAATTTCTTGTCGTTACAGGAGCTCCAAAAAACCACACATCCTCAATTTCCCAATCCTGAAAATGCCTCAAAAATTGAGCATCCCAAACTGTTCTGCCACTATCAAGGCGATAGCAGTCGACCATCATAGCTTGACGATTAGAAGCAATCTGAAAAAGTCTAGGGAAAGAGCGCGCAAGAGAACGATCACCACACCAAATGTCCTTCCAGAAGCAGATCTTGTCTGTGCGTTTTGGTTGTTATGTCTTTTGTCATCATTAAACCCCACTATATTAGATATACAGTAGAGCTTGATACTGAACAAACAGCCTTTATTAGGAAGGGAATGTTTGTTCCCATCCAAATGGGATCTGTATTTGTTCACTTTGTTATATACAACTAGAGCCCTTTATGAGGGAGGTTCATATTACAACAACACTTTTTTTTTTTTTTTTTTTCCTTTCACTGAATTGGTAATTGCACGTAATAAGATACCTATTTGATTTTTGAAGACATTGGTTCAGGGGCTACTTATACCCCCTTTTTATTTATTTTTTTATAAGTAAGATTGTATAAGAAACCGTTCAACCGGAGAACGCAGCCCACAAAAGCAATACAAAGGCCAAATAGGGCTACTTACAGCAAGGAGTAATAGCAAATCATTGTACTGGTTTATTGAGGAGAGGGTGAACTATAGTAAACTTATTTAGTTCAAAGTGTGGAGATGAATTTGAATCAATTGCATAATTTGGTGCCTTTTGTTATTCTGTTTGTTTTACTCGTCATCTGCAAACTAGTCATTATTGCCCATTTCCTTTCTTGAGATTCACCTCATTGTGTAATACACATAATAAGGTGATCTTGAGCTCGTTAGCTCACATGATGACTCTCCATTCCGGTAGTAGGACCCATCTATCTCTCCCTCCTCCACAAGATGGGAGTTTAATGGCTTGTGTGGTTAATTTCCTTGCCTCCCTTACAGATTTCCTTTATTTATTCACTTGAGATTCACCTCATTGTGTAATTTGCATAATATTCGAAAATTAAAGGTGATCTTGAGCTCTTTAGCTCACATGATGACTCTCCATTCAGGTAGTAGGACCCATCTATCTCCCCCTCCTCCTCCTCCTCCACAAGATGGAAGTTTAATGGCTCGTGTGGTTAATCCCCTTGCCTTCATTTCATATTACCTTTATTTTTTCATTTGAGATGGCACATATACTACTTACGAAAAAAAGAAGAAAAAAAAAGATGGCACATATATATATATATATATATATATATATATATATATATATATATAAAGATTTTGAACAGATTATCAGGTAATTTATTTTTTCGTGATGGCAACTAGCGTAGGATGCACAAATAGATACATTTTTTTTTTTTACAAGTAAACTGATACAAATTTTAAAGTAGGAAGCGTAATATCCTTAATGTCATGCAGAGTACCGAACTGGGTGATGCATTAATTGAGAGCTGATATATATGCATATTGGTGGAATACATTCATGAAATAGATACATTTTTTTTAATAAGTAAACTGATGCATATTGGTGGAATACATTTATGAAATGGTGCAACTAGTACTGAATGGAAATATTATGAGACAAAATTGTGTAAGATGTCATATGTAGTGAGGACCACTACTGCATCAGTTAGTAAGTTGTAGAGTGATATGGTCCACATGGAGGGTAGTTTTTTAGGGCAGACCAAGTTTAACAGGGTTAAGATGGCAAGGAAAGACATGGTGGTTAGTGAGGTAACTGTAGTAATGACTCTTGACATAGCTGAATAGGAAAACAGGAATATTGTAGTCACCACTTTTAAGTGGGGCCACACTATTGTGAACCGTAATCGTGGTCTCAAAAAGCCACTTAGGAATATGGCGCTTTCAATGGAGATGGGAGGAATTCTTCATGGTGGCATGAGTTAAAGGTGTTCAGGTAGTTTGTCCTTTGGTCAATTGTGAACTTCATTTTGTTAGTGGATTTCATTCACACATTACCAGTATGATAAGTCTGTTTTTCCTTCTAATCAATTTGCTGGATTATCCTTTAGAAAATTGTTAACCCACCTTTATTCTAGGTCAACCTCTCTGCTGAAGTTAAACATGCTGCTATGGTTTTGCATTTACTGTAGTTGACCCAATTGCGCACACACACACACACATATATATATATTATGCTGTTGTTTTAAGAAAATGGAAGTTCGGTACGGTATTATCATGGTATCACCACTGAAAGCTGTAACATTAGTGTAAGTTGAGTGCTGATGGGGGTTTCAGATCTCTTTGTATCATTGAAGATGAAATATTAGATATATTACTTTCTTTAATATTAAGACTGAAGTGGCAATCTGAAGTGTAAAAACTTCCCACAGTTTGTTGTGAATGTGATGGTTATGCAAGTGTTTAGAACCGTGACTTTATGTGTTTTATATAAGACCAATCTGAGCATTTATGCCGTTCTTTTGTTGTTCTGCTTACATATGCTAACTCTAAGCTAAGTTCATTAGAATAATTTTCCGAGCCATCTATACTTATTCTGGCTAAGCTCTGATTAAGTTATAGCTCATCTGCATGAGAATCCAATAGCTTCCTTGAATATTGCACAATGATTTAATGAACAATAATCTAATATTTTGTTTTAGGTTCCTAATTCTTCCGATAAATCAAAGCCCAAAGCAGCAGCTAGAACCAGTGAGACGACTGTGGCTGCCAAGAATGTGCAGCAGCAGCTCCATTCAACGCAACTTGCTAATCAGTTTGTTCGTGGTGGACAAGTCAGATCTGATGCTCCAAGGGCAACTCATACTGGGAAGTTTCTTGTTCTCAAACCAGTATGGGAGAATGGTGTCTCCTCTACAGCAAAGGATGTATCTAGTCCGAGTTGTAATGCAAGCAGAGCAGCTAATAGCCAGCTTGCTGTTGCTCCTTCGGCTCAATCTGCTCCTGTGAAGAATCCAAATAACCAAAAGCTTTCCACGGTTGAACGCAATCCTATTGGCAGTGTGGAAAAGAGACCTTCTCAGGCCCAGAGTCGAAGTGATTTTTTCAATCTCATGAGGCAGAAAACCTCAACGAATTCTCCTTCCCTCCCAGATTTAGGAGCTGCTGTTTTGACTCCCAATGTGGAGAAATCTGGTGACGTAATCAAGGAAGTTGGTACTCCTGTAAGTCCTTGTGTTACTGAGAACGGTAGCGAGGTGACTAGCAATGGTGATACTGGTGACGAGGTTCAGAGATTTTCTGATGTTGAAGAGAAGAATTCATGCCTTAGTGGGGAAATTTATCCAAATGAGGAAGAGGCTGCTTTCTTGCGTTCTCTTGGTTGGGTGGAAGATGCTGGAGAGGACGATGGCCTTACCGAGGAGGAGATCAATGCATTTTATCAGGAGGTAACTAACTCTAGCTTAAGTGTAGTTTACATCCAATTGGAAGACAAAACTGCACACTAGGTTGTTCCACTTTGTCTTGTTGGATAATTCTCTCACTCAAGAGTTTGAAGGATATGGATTTTGCTTATCCGGATTATTTTTTCCCATTTAAATATTAAACTTTTGAAAGCTAAGCTGTTTCAAGTAAAATGGATTTGTGGACATTAAGGATTAACAGGAGCACGCTAGGTAATGCCTATCCCCCGCTCTTCACCCACTTCCCTTGTGGTCTTAAGTAGCCAATTTAATTCTTTTGGTTGCCTTTGTTTTCCTGACTTTGTTTATGTGAAACGCTGTCAATATGTAATTAGATTTGGGACTGCAGTATTTACCCATTTTCCATTTGCCTATTTTCATGTGCAGTATATGAAACAGAGACCATCCTTGAAAGTGTGTAGAGGAATGCAGCCAAAGCTTTCAATGCTGTCCGAGTCACATGCATCTGGTTCAAGCAGAACTTCCTCGGAGTTGAGCTCATCTGAATCTGAATCCGATGCTTGATTAATGATTAATTACATATAGGATCGGAAAAGTTAAATTTTTTTGTTGGCAGACAGTTTCTCTTTTGTTTGGGCATAAAGCAGATAAGTCGACACGGAAGAGGTGGTCGGATTTGGAGGGATGTCTGCAGTTTGCAATATAGTAACAATAAATTACAGGTGCCCCAATTCTACCTCCCTAAATTAGCATTTTTTTGGGTTTCAGGTCTGGTTAGGAGAAGGTGGGTAGGGTATATGTTGGTCTTTCGTGGATGGTAAGATTTTGTCATTTTTGTTTTTTATTTCTAGAGGTCAAATTCAATGAAGAAAAGCTTTTGGCATTTTGGTTGATTATACGGGGTAAAAAGAAAGTTATTTTTAGTTTTTTATTTTTATTTTATTGAAATTTTTTGCTTTAGCTCTCTATTTTAATGTTAATAGATATATTTTTTGATAGAAGAGTTGTTGTTGATATCTGAAGCTTATCCACAAAAGTGATTTTGTTATATTATCTTTTAGATTGACAGGGAATTCTTTCATATTCTAACACCACGTAGTTCCAGTGGCTTCCTCTATGAATAGAGAGAGTTGAATGGTTATGATTTATTAATATGTATGTTTATTACCTTTCAGAAAAAAAGAATGTGCGTGGTTATTTTCTGTCATATTCCTTTTTCTTTTTCCTGGTTTATCTGAAGTGATTGTTGTTGTAAAGCTATCATCAACCTTTACCTCAAGCTCGAGTATGAACTCGAACTCAAAATAGGCTAAATCGAGGCAACTCGAGCTTAAAAAGCAAATGTCCAACACATATCTTATTTAAGGGCTGTTTGATATGCGTTTTGTTTTTGGTATTTTTATTTTTATCGAGTGCTGTAACAAGTGAATTGTAGAAAAAAAATATTTTTGAGAAAATATATTTTGTTTTGCATATTGTCAAAACGTTTCGTGAATAGTGATCAAAATTCGAAACATCAACTTAAGTGTCAAAACATTGGCTAAGCCTTGTTTGGTTCGTATTTTGTTTTTGTCATTTTATTTTAATCCAAAGCAAAACAAGTATTTTGAAAGATGATCAAAAGCATGCTTGGTAACGTAAAAAAATTCTGAAAGTTTGAAAAATATAATAGTTAATTTTAAAATATAGGTTTTTTTTTTATTTTTTTTAACATAAATAAATAAATTGTTGCTATAGTATTCGGTACTGTATAAAATAAAATACTTTTTACCAAAAACACCACCGTTGACGAAAACAAAAACACCGTGATCAAAAAGAGTAGTGCTACTGCGAGCGCGCGCAATAGCACTCACGAGCTCGATGTGTTTTTCTTGGGATCAGAGAGCACTAAGGAAACTGATCTGTTAACCCTTAACCCAACTCTCTCTCCGTTAACCCTTAACCCAACTTTGTTTTTTTGCTCAGCCCTCGACCCACTTTATCTTTCTCTCTCTTCTTTAGCTTTTGTTTGTTATTGTATACAGTATTAGTTTAATTTTTTGTGTCATTTGGCCCGGCAGTTTCTCGATTACTCTTTCTCTAACCTCTCTCTAACCTCTCTGCAACTCATTTTCATTCTTCTTCTTCTCCTTCTCCTTCTCCTTCTCCTTCTGCTTTCTCCCCCTCCCCGAGCGGCCCAACGCTTTTATTCTCTCTCTAACCTTTCTCCATCTTTCAACTCTTATATATATATATATATATATGCACACACACGTGTCTTCTTTTGCTGCTCAGATGGAAAAAAAAAAAATAAAAAAAACAGATTCAAACCAAATTGATTGAAGAAAACAAATCTACTTCTACTTTGAAATTGTTAGATCGCGGCAATGGTGGTGTTGGATTTGTTGCGGTGGTTTTTTTATTTTGATTTTTATAATTATTTTCTTTTGTGGGTTTTGATTGTGGTGTTTGTCGGGTGGAGATTGTGGCGGTGACTTGGGGGTGACCGGGTGAGGATGGTGGTGGTTAGTGGCGGTTCATAGACAGGAGAAAGGGAGGCCAAAAATATTATCAGTTTGAGAAATACAAAGGTTAACGAAGAGAGTTTTTTTTCACCCAAAGATAGATGACTGATTTAAAAAAAAAAAAAGCAAATCAAAGAGAGAGAAAGAGGAAAGAAGAAAGAATTTGTTTTCGTGTACCGGATGACGGTGACGGGAAGGGCAAATTGGGCTGCAACGGATCGAGATTGGAAGTGAGTTTTGAACACAGAAGTGTGATCCTTCAGCTTGTACCTGCCGGCTTAATTCTCTCAAATTTTTCAGCTTTTAATCCCAGTGCTTAAGCAAAGAAGAGAGAGAGAGAGAGAGAGAGAGATATATATAGGCAGTGAGTTGAGGGTAAAACAAGAGAAGGATAAAGTTGGGTTAAGGGTTAACAGAGAGAAAACGTTGTGAGAAGAGAGAGAAACATCTGTTTCTTTAGTGCTCCGAATCTCAAAAAAAACACATCGTGCGGCTAAAAATAGGGAGCTCGTGAGTGCTATTGCGAGCGCGCGCTCCCAGTGGCACTACTCAATCAAAAAGCGTTCTCTTGATTCTCAGCTTGATTCAAACTGTCAAAAGCAGACTTGATTTGCGGGCCCACAATGGAATTGCAGAGGAACGTAACAAAATCTGGACATGTGGAAAAGGTAACATAGCTTCATCTCCCCCAACCCAAAATCAAAATGTGGTAATGGTTTCAATCATCCAATCCTCAAGTAGCAAAGTTGTGCCTGAGAAAAATTTGAGTCTTGAATTAAAAGTGAGCAGGTTGATTTCTTACTGGACATATTTGTACCAGTTATAAAGAAAATATACCAGTTCATTTTACCTTGAACATAAATGAATTTACAAGTTCCCAAGTTCAAAATTTTTCATACCCTTTTTTGGTTCTGAACATACCATCTACACTCAAGGTAGGTTCAAATCTAACCATAGAAAATTAGCCACTAAAACCGAAGCAAATTTTGTGGTTCCTGGGGATGTTTTGGAAACTATTCGCATAAAAAAGTTGACTTCTGCTTCTTGATAGCACGGTGTTAAGAGCATATATTGCAATTGTTACAATGTTTTTGTACATGAAATAAAACAAAATGATCGATAATTTTGAACAGAACCATACATTTTTAATGACAAGACAAACAAAATGAGGTAGTTTATTCCTAAATGCAAGAAATTCTATAGTCGGCAAAATGATTCTACGTAATATAATATATATATACCCAAATAAACCATAAAGGTTTCATTGTTTCTGCAATCAACCTAGACATGTAACAGAGAAGCCATGGACTTGCATGTAATGCTTCTGAGGCTTGCGGTGAGAGGGGTGATACTAGCAGCGATAATAGCTAGAGTTGCTACCGCTCAAGGCATGCCTGGCTGCAAAGATAGATGTGGGAATCTTAAAATTCCATATCCGTTTGGGATGAGCCAAGGCTGCTACCTAAACGACTCATTTCTCATCACATGTACGTACTCCAAAACGTATCTGAACGGTAATTTATCTGTCCTGAACATAGCACTCGAGGGTCAACTGCGAATTTTGTCCCCGATTGCCACTGTTTGCGGCAGCTCGCAGGGTAATACCACCAAGTATCAACCGCTTTCAACTAGTTTCCCCATCTCCACTACAAGAAACAAGTTCATTGCCGTAGGCTGTAATACTACAGGAGCCATCCGTGTCTTTCTGGGGAAAACTTACACAGCCACGAGTTGCAAGTCTTTTTATAACACGACGAATAAATTAATCAATGGATCGTGCTCAGGCACGGGCTGTTGCCAGACCTTCATTCCCAAAGGATTACGGGACTTCAAGATAGTGGTAGAGAACTATTTTGGCAATGTGTATCTACGGAACCCCAGCTTCTGCAGCCATGCCTTTGTGGTCGAACAAGGGTATTATGACTTCTCGTCGCTAGATCTTTATAGCGACTCACCCAACCTCAATCCATTCCCTGTGGTGCTAGATTGGGCAGTCGGTGAGACAAAATGTGAACAAGCTAAAAAGAACAAGACAGGTTATCTATGTCAGGAGAATAGCGAGTGCTATGACTGGGATGGTGGGGCAGGATATCACTGCAGATGCTCTAAGGGTTACCAGGGGAACCCATACCTCCCAAACGGTTGCAAAGGTACTTATTTTGTATATCGTTCTTCTGGGCTATGGAGTTTTTGCACAAATATATATATATATATATATATATATATATATATATATAATATTTTTAAAATCAATTGGTTTCAGATGTCAATGAGTGTGACGACGATCAAGGCCACAATGATTGCACACACATCTGTAGGAACACTGCTGGGAGATATGTTTGTCTTTGTCCTAAGGGTTACCATGGAGATGGCAGAAAGGGTGGACAAGGTTGCTTGCAAACTAAGGCCACTGTGGGTAAGTAACGATAAACTTGTGAACCTCATAGAAAGTAGTCTCTAAAATAATAAAGATGAAGAAACATCTTGATAACACTTCGAGCACCATTTAGTTATAAACTCGAATGCACTTGATACAGTGTCTCTGTTTGAAGTAAAACATTCAATCTTAAGAACCCAAACACATGCTTCATTTTTTCTATCTTCTCCAATCATAATATTTGTCAATTATAAGCAAAACTACTTGAGATTAATGTTTTGCCTCGCCTACATATAGGTATGAGCATGAGCCTCGTGTTTATGTTTGTCATCGTCTCTGTCTTATATTGGGGAGTCCGCAAAAAGAAGATCATGAAGCGCAGAGAAACCTTTTTTAAGCAGAACGGTGGTATAATGTTACAACAACTGCTTTCCAACTGCAAAAGGAAAGGTTCTGCTCAAGGAGCCAAGATTTTTACGGAAGATGAGCTCAAGAGAGCAACAAACAACTTCGGTGATGGCAATGTTATTGGCCAAGGAGGTTATGGCACAGTTTATGCAGGAACTCTAAAAGATGATATGATCGTCGCCATCAAAAAGTCCAAGGTGGTAGACCGAGGCCAAATTGAGCAATTCATTAATGAGGTAGTTATTCTCTCCCAAATCAAGCATCCAAATGTGGTGAACCTCTTGGGTTGTTGTCTAGAAACACCAGTTCCCCTACTAGTATATGAATTTATCACCAACAATACCCTCTTCCACCACATACATGATGAAGGTCGTGTATCCTCAATGCCATGGGAACTGCGTTTGAGAATAGCAGTAGAAACTGCTGGAGCACTTGCACATATGCATTCTTTTCCAATAAATATAATTCATAGAGATGTCAAGTCTGCCAACATTCTATTGGATGATCAATACACTGCAAAAGTATCCGACTTTGGAGTTTCAAGATTGGTTCCTTTAGATCAAACTCAACTACCCACATTGGTGCAAGGGACATTTGGTTACTTAGATCCCGAGTACTTCTATTCAGGCTTATTAACCAAGAAAAGCGACGTCTATAGCTTTGGAGTTGTCCTTGTGGAGCTACTAACTGGGAAGAATGTTTTCTCTCTGGATAGACCTGAAGAGGACAGGGGTCTAGCAATGTATTTCATTTCTTCGCTCAAAGAAGGTCACTTGCTTCAAATCCTGGAGGATCGAGTGAAGAAAGAGGGACATGCTGAGCAGCTAAAAGGAGTAACTGAGGTAGCAAAAAAATGCTTACGATTGAAGGGACGCAAAAGGCCTACCATGAAAGAGGTAAAAGAGGAGCTTGAGGCATTGAGAAACTCCAAACTCAACCATGGATCAGAATTAGACCATACATATAAGAAATGAAGCCCTAGTTAGTGAACCATTCAACTACACACAAGCAATACGTTTAGTCTAAAGAACCCAACGTATAGAAGGTTGATGGCGGGCTAATAATTGGTCTTGTGGATTGCAGTAAGACACCAATATGCATACTTATCCTGAAAGAGAGAAATTTATGTACTGTTCTCTTCATTGTAATCTTGTATTGATTGCTTCACAAATCCATACAATGAGCTGTGTAACTATAAATGACTAACATCATACATACATGAAAGAATCCCTGAGGTGATAGTTTCAGCTCCAAACTGTAAGACATTTTGATTTGCCCCGGCTTACTCAGAATGAGAAGTCCAATAAATCAGTCCACTGCAAAGAACAATATTTTTTTTATTGGAGAGAATGACACAGGAGGGCATATTTTTGTCCATCTCTTTCTGGTTGTGCTCGAGAATACTACATCATACAGTCATGAATGATGTGAGAATGTTTTCGAATATGCAGTGTGGTTACACATACGTGTGTGTGTGTGTGAGAGAGAGAGAGACATTTAGACCAATGTAACAGAAAAGAGACCCTGGCAATTAGAATGACATGCTCAGGCAAATGCCATCAAGTGCATTTAGCTTATGCAATCACATGCAGTTTATTTCACACTAGTACAGACAGATTGTCATACCAAACTCTATGTCCTAGCTCGATCAGTTGGTACGACATAATATTTTTAGTATAATTTCTAGCATAATTATAAGGAGAAGTATAACAAGAGTTTCAAATACTTTGATATAATGAGAAATGCATCATGTCTAGTTTCCAAAGTTCAAATCCATGCGACATAAATCTCAATTTTTTCATGTAAAGTTTAATCTTATAAGTTAGAAACACAGAATAATTGATGGACACACGCTAATGTAAGGTTTAATCTCAATTGTAAGGTTCAAATACTTTGCTATTCAACTAATGATTAACACAGGCTCACAACAAAAGGTGATGGCTTGGTCAGGCAGTTCTTTCCCTTGTGTTATCTTATTTTATCCTTTTCTCAACAGAAGAGAGATATTGAAGATTTCTCTAATTGGTGCATGATGTATACATGATGGGGACAGCTTTTCTATGTTTTTAATCTATACAAACAAGTCCACAAAAAAAAAAAAAAAAAAAAAAAAGTGTCCACAAACATTCAATAATGTTAACCGGAAAAACGGAACACAGGAAGCAATCTTGAAGCTTAAAAAAAGGCAATTACCTGATCAACACAAACACACACTGCAAAACACCAGCAGTTCCTGTCCACGCTGAAGGGCCAGTTTTCACAATTGAATCTTGAGTGAATAACCACCCTAACAATGCAACATGAGTAACAAAGATCAGGAAATTGTAGGTTGAAGATTGAGTCAATTGTGAAAACTGGCCCTTCAGCGTGGCTTATAAAGATTCAATTGTTGGGATCAACAGAACTAATCCTCATTATTTTTGCAATTTCTGAAATTGCAGGTTGAAGCTCTGGCTTTTCCTTGCTTATGTTGCATCTTTTGTCTCTCTAGCGGCTTCAGTAGGTTAATTAACTCAAGATTCAATTGTGAAAACTGGCCCTTGCTTTTTTAAGCTTTAAGATTTCTGGTTAAGCTTTGGCTTTTTGGGTCCTTTTAGCCATCTGCACCGGCCTCTACGGATTTTGGCCCTCTAAAAACGCCACATCAGCTTTTCTAAGAGCCATGTCAGCAATTATGATGAGCGCTGAAAAGTGCGCAATGAAACCCCTTAAGCTTAGGTATTCTAGGACATTTATCTATCTTACTTTTGTTAGAGTTGCATTACACAATCAACCGGATTTGATACTAGTTGTTGTGGTGGAAACGTAAAATAAACAACGCTGTTCAAGGAATAAAAAAGCAATCACGAAGAATAAAAAAAATCACACACAAGAACATAAGATATACATGGTTCATCCAAATCTTAGGGCAATGTCTAGAAGCACACCAAACAAATTCACTATGAAAAAGATGAATAATTACAAGGAGAATTCTCTCTCAATCTCTCTCAATTGCTCTCTCTTGTATTGGCACACATTTATCTTTAACTTTCACCCCTATTTATAGAATCCCAAACTTGTCCTACAAGAACTTACCTTTTGTAGAATCCAAAACCAATAAGAAAATTAAATCAGATCAGGAAACTGAATTTTCCTTAAACCAATAAAGAAGTCAAATCAGATTAGGAAACTGAATTTTCCCTAATAGATTAGGAAACTGAATTTTCCCTAAAATACAGTACTCTTGAAGTTTTCATATAATTAAATCTTCTTAAAAATCTTCCACCTAATCAGACTCCACAAAACCACAACAATCTCCCACTTGGAGTCTGGAGCACTTGTAAACCCATTCCATTTTCTTCTCATGCATGTCCCATACATGTCGGTGCGCTTCTTTCTGTCTTCAAGCTAGAAGACCAACTAAAGTTGCGCACAACTTCAGTTTCTCCATGGTCACTGTCTTGGTCAACATCTCAGCCGGATTCTTGGTGCCAAGTATTTTCTCAAGTGTCAACACCCCATCTTCTAACAAAGATCTGATAAAGTGATACTGAAGTCCTATATGCTTGGTCCTTGAATGAAATGCTGAATTCTTTGCCAGATGTATCGCACTCTGACTATCACTGTGCAAAACATTCTTCACCTGTTCGAATCCCAACTCTATTAACAAACCTTGTAACCAAATCATCTCTTTACTAGCCTCTGTCATCGCCACATACTCTGCCTCTGTAGTAGATAACGCTACAATCCTTTGTATTTGCGAAACCCAACTAACTGCAGTTGTACCCACCATGAACACATACCCGGTAGTACTTCTTCTGTGGTCCACCTCACCAGCAAAGTCAGAATCTACATAACCATGTAGCTTCACTTTACCCCTTCTGAAACATAAACATCTGTCTATGGTACCCCGTAGATATCTCAATATCCACTTTACTGCTTCCCAGTGTAGCTTGCCCGGATCCTTCATGAACCTGCTTACTACTCCCACTGCATATGCAATGTCTTTTCTTGTGCACACCATGACATACATCAAACTTCCAATGGCTGAGGCATATGGAATTTTACCCATGAATTTTTTCTTATCTTCTGCCTTCGGACACTGATCTTGAGATAAGCGGAAGTGATTAGTTAAGGGAGTACTCACCGCTTTAGCATTATTCATGTTGAACCTCTTTAGAACCCGTTCAACGTACTCAGCCTGAGACAACTGCAAAATACCTTTATGTTTGTCTCTGCTAATCTTCATCCCAAGAATCTGCTTCGCTACACCAAGATCCTTCATCTCGAATTCACTAGACAACTGTTTCTTTAATTTGTTAATTTCTTTAAAATCAGAACCTGCCACTAACATGTCATCAACAAAAAGTAGAAGGATAATGAAACTTGACTTGAACCTCTTGAAGTAGCAGCAATGGTCAGCATTGCACTTGTTGTAGCCATGTCGCTTTATAAAACCATCAAACTTCTTGTACCACTGCCTCGGGGCTTGCTTCAAACCATATAAACTTTTCTTCAACTTGCACACTAGTTTCTCTTTCCTTTGACTGAGAAACCCTCCGGTTGTTACATGTAAATCTCTTCTTCTAGGTTACCATGGAGGAAAGCAGTTTTGACATCTAACTGCTCAAGGTGCAACCCTTCTGCTGCAACAATGCTAAGAACTGAGCGAATGGTACTCAGTTTCACAACCGGGGAAAAATGTCTGTGTAGTCAATGCCTTGCTTTTGCTGAAAGCCTTTGGCCACCATTCTCGCCTTGTATCTCTTGGAACCATTATATTCCACTTTCACCCTGTACACCCATTTGTTGTGAAGAGCTTTCTTCCCCATGGGCAACTTGGATAGTTCCCATGTTTTGTTAGAGATAAGGGACTTCATCTCATCTTCCATTGCAAGCTCCCACTTGCTAGCATCTTCAACTTGACATACTTCATTATAGCATTCAGGCTCACCATCATCTGTGAGCAACATATAATCCAAATATTTCCTATTCGGTACATGAGGTCGCGTAGACCTTTTGGGTGCAGGCATAGGAGTTGGAATCTGCGGTGAACTTTGCTCTGTGAGTTCTGGCAAAGAACCCTCATTTGTCTGCTCCGCATCAATGCTCTCTGGATCATCATCCAACTCAACAAACTCAGGCTTACTCTGTACAGGACTAGATAACTGTGCTGCATCTCTATCCTTGTACATCACCTTCTCGTTGAAAATCATATCTCTACTTCTGATGATTTTCTTGTTCTGATTATCCTAGAGTCGATAACCAAACTCATCTCCGCCATACCCAACGAAGATGCATTTTAGTGACTTGGGGTCGAGCTTTCCCCTAGCATGGTCATTAATATGCGCATATACAATATAACCAAAAACTTTCAACTATGAAAGATTTACCTCTTTGCCACTCCATACCTCTTCTGGTATTCGATGCTCCAAAGGCACTGATGGTCCACGATTTATTAGGTAGGATGCTGTATTGACTGCTTCTGCCCAAAACTGTTTGGGTAGACCCGAATGTATACGCATGCTTCTGGCTCTTTCTGTCAATGTTCGGTTCATCCGTTCTGCCACCCCATTCTGCTGTAGGGTTCCTTGCACAGTCCTCTCTAATCTGATCCCATTATCAAAATAGAACTTCTTGAACCCAGTGTCTTCATACTCACCACCATTGTCTGATCTTAACCTTTTGATCTTCAAACCTGTCTCATTCTCCACCATGGCCTTCCACTTCTTGAACATATCAAATACCTCAGATTTGTGCTTCAAAAAATAAACCCATGCCTTCCTTGTGTGATCATCAATGAAAGTCACGAAGTAGGATTTTCCGCCAATGGATGAAACAGTGGTTGGCCCCAAACATCTGTGTGAACTAACTCAAGTTTCTCCTTTCTGAGATCTCTGCCACTCTTCTTGAAACTGACCCTCTTCTGCTTGCCCATCACGCAACTCTCACAGAAGTCAATATCAATTGCCTATATGCTTGGTAGTTTTTCCCT